CGAGGGGTGTCCCTCGGCCCCCCGCTGCTGCTGCCGCCGCCGCCGCCGGCGCTGCTGCTGGCGGGCCCCCCGGGCAGAGCGTGCCTGCGGGCAGTGCTGGCGGATTCGCGCTTCTTCCTGGTGTGCATGTGCTTCCTGACCTTCATCCAGTCCCTCATGGTCTCCGGCTACCTGAGCAGCGTCATCACCACCATCGAGCGGAGATACAGCCTCAAGAGCTCGGAGTCGGGGCTGCTGGTCAGCTGCTTCGACATCGGGAGCCTGGTGGTGGTGGTCTTCATCAGCTACTTCGGGGGTCGCGGGCGGAGGCCGCTCTGGCTGGCAGTAGGGGGGCTTTTCATCGCCCTGGGCGCTGCGCTCTTCTCCTTACCTCACTTCATCTCTCCGCCGTACCAGATCCAGGAGCTGAACTCCTCCGTCAGTAACGAGGGCTTGTGCGTGGCTGGCAATGGCACTGCCAAAGAGCAGTGGGACTCGTCGGCCTGCTTCAAGGACGCCGGCGGAAATGACCACTCTCTCTATGTAGCTTTATTCATTTGTGCCCAAATCCTCATTGGCATGGGCTCGACACCCATCTATACCTTGGGACCAACCTACTTAGATGACAATGTCAAGAAAGAAAACGCCTCGCTTTACCTAGGTAAGGCAACTTAAGTACCTGGGTACTTAGAATGCTGAACCCCAGGTCTCTTTGAGGGGCCAGTTACAGGTACTTCTGCCTTAGTCCCGCTGAACAACATCTGTGCTAAATTTTCCTTTTCAAATGACCTTTTGAAATACAATTGCCATGCTTTCCTGTTTTAAAATGTTTTGTGGCATGGTGAAAAGTAGTAACTGGTGTAACTAACACAGTGTGCCTGAAAGCAGTTGTACTCACACCATCTTGCACGGGTAATGGGGTAATGGAACAACAGAGAAAGTCGTTTTCTGTAATGCTATTCAGCATTTTTGGCAGTAGCTGGTCATTTTTGCAGAAAGCAGTGTTAAAATTTGCTGTGCCCTTTCAAGTTTCTTTTTGCTAAGACAGAAAGTTTATATTTCTAAATTCTGGTTGCTCTTCTTTTAGCCTAAAGTGTCTGTAAAGTTAATGTTCAGTAAGCACTTCTAGAGATTTTTGGCATGCTTCGTTTTACTTTTCCAGCATTCATTTGCCTTGAACTAGCAATGGATTTTGACTGGCATTGATACATCATCTGGCATCTCAGAGTTAAAAACCCATCAGTAAAGCAGCATGTAAAACCTTCAGGGCTGAGTTTGGTTAGGGCAGCTCAAGGAGCACAATGAAATGAGAGTCCAATCTGGCATACGTTTTTCAGCAGGTACTGACAAGTCTTACTGATACTTGTGTGATGGTGGGAAGAAAGGATGTCTCAGATAAATGGGTACTAAACTTTATTGGAGTTTGATCGTGATAGTTTGTGTAATGTGTAAGAAGATTAACTGCTCCCTGACTTTGCATTAGCGCTTTACGTGCTTCTGTAAGAAATTAGCCTCATGTGCTCCTTCAAATTCTTTTCAAATAAGGAGAGGCACTTAGGGGGCTGAGAGAGCTGTGAAAGAGTTTTGGATGCTCAGCATTACCATTTGGAGTTCAATTTTCTTTGGCTTTGCCATGGAGATAGTAACTGCATGTAAAACACACATTTATGGAAGTTACATACTTATGGAGTGTGTGTGTAGCTACTTCACTGAACAGAAGTCGTGATCCAGATCAGTGTTTTTATTCTTTTTGACCTGTTCTTTGGCAATTTGACTGTTCCCTGAACCGTTTTAAAGCCATGCACAGTCTGTGCAGTGTCTTGAAAAAGCCTGGGGCACTGCAGGTTTTTGGAAGGAGGGAGAGATACTCACTGCATTGCTAGTCTGCATGATGAAGTATTTGGCAAAGTGTTTTTTCTCTCTCTGCTCCCATCTGAGAAAGGTTAAGTGGTATGGAAATTAAGATTAACCTAGCATCGACTTTATTGGCAGTATGGAAAAACAAAGCATCTCGTTACTCAGGTTACTAAATTGTAGTTTGGAACTTTTGCAAGTAGGTAATCTCACACAGTCCTCAAAACCGAAAAAAAGAAAAGAAATAGAAATGCTGTAGGTGAGGAATGAAGGGTAGAAGAGGTGAACGGTGAGAGAGGTGGAAATCTTTGTTTAACAGAGGGGAAGGCAAGGTCAATTGGGGGAAATCCTCACTGTGCAGGAGGAACGATGCCTACCACTGATGCGCTTCTAGCACAGGAAATAGTAATGAAGTGACTCAGGTAACTTTAATTGCAGCAAAGTTAACAAAGGTAAAAGGCACCAGCAGCTGGGTAGACTCCATGTGACCCTGTGCCTGCCAGGCACTGAAGGCAGCTTTGATCTATACTGGGAGTACCTTTGTAGAGTCGAAGTTCATTTTTAGTGATTCAGAACAAAGATGAGTACACCCAGCTACAGTGTACATGAAAAATTTATGCCTGTGATTTGATTGTGACCACAGGGAGAATTAAAAGGAACACAAAGTGTGTTCAAACATTGAATAAAATCTACTATCACCTCCATTCAATATTGAAGCTACTCAGGGCTAGAAGCAATGTTGTCTGCTTTTGGAAATCTTGCTGTTATTTTTTTTAAATAGTGTGGAATTCTGAGGAAACTTTTAACTTGCTATTTGCCTCACTTTATATATAGACCAGTGACTTTTTGAGGGGCAGGAGTAAAATCTGAGGTTTTTGGGGGAGAAGGAAAAGGAGCACTGTTTGGCATGTTCGTGTGAGCAAACATGTTTTTGTTGGATCTTCTCAATGTTTTGGAATGTTGCGTGTCCTTGAGGAGAGGGATTTGTGGGCAGCAGACAGCCCAGCCAGGTGCAGGGTTGGAATAGAAGTGGCCTGGGCATGGCTCTGCAGGCCTGCCACCTCACATCCTGTGTTACGCAATACCCTGTTCTCCAGGTGATGTGATTCTGTTACTGGGGAAAACTGTGCAAGTGGTGTCAAAATGTAAAATGTATGTCTGTGTGTAGGCATGAGCTGACAAAAAGTCTTGGAGTGGGCTGTGGCACTTGAGGTTTTGAAAAGAGAATAAAACCCAGGGAAACAGATCCCAGTCACACCGATACATGTGTTTTAGGGAGGACAGCTAATTCATTAAAAACGTATTGTCCAACACAGAATGGAAGTCACTATCATACTTGTTCATGATCTTGCTGGTATTGCATTCTATGTTTTTCTTCCCAAGGAAGAGAAATACACATTTGTGCACCTGATAAAAGATTCACTGAGCTTCAGAACTGATGAGCTTTTTGACCCTGCAAGTGTGCCCACTAATAGCAGGTCAGTAAAGCCCCCCTTGAGTATCACTAATCCTGATTCTGCAAAAACTCACCTTATGTGGCTGTGGAAGCTATCTTATTTATTTTCCAAGTTAATCCAGCTCAGGGCTCGAGTGGCGATAGCATATCCTCTTAAGTGTAGGCATGCAAGCTCAATGTGGACAGCTGTTTTAACATTCCTGGCTGGAAGTCCTCCTCTCAAAAAACATATTTGGTGCTTATACATAGTCTCTTGGCTGCCTACTCTTAAGTCCATCTGTCAGAATGGCACAGTGCCAGTTCACAAGGTGCTATGTCATTTTTAGTAGGACAAAGGTGCCAAGCAAGGATGTGTGTTTGGGCTGCCTGCATAGAAGTGTGGGAGCTCTTTTGTGGGATGTTTCTTCCTTGTGAAGCAGCGTCACCTCCGGGTCCTCCCACCCCTTAAGCTTGACAATACTTTGATGCCCTGATGCTAACTTTGAGAAATGTGTGACATCAGGCTTGAAAACAAGTCGTGGTTGTAACAGGTGCCTAGGAAATGTAAGAACTGGTTCCCTTAATCACAGATAATCCAAAAGGGAAGTTGCACACTATGTAAAAACTGGGCAGTCACTAATTGGTCTTTGTCTTCTCTGAAGTCTCTCCCTTCTGTGCTCAGCTGTACTGTGACATACATGTCTGTTGTCAGCTGCCTGATGTGTGTAGGCTCTTCTTTTAAGTATTTATCCAATTAAATTAATTGCAATTCAATAAGTTGAGTTGGTCTTCCTGGGTCTTGTTTTGTACTCTTGATGGTGTTAGTGCTACTTGTCAAATTCTAGCACTTAAAACACTGTGATTTTTCTAAACACTGTGGGGTTTTTTGTAGGGATCCAACAGTTTGTCTTGAATGTGAATTTGCCTTGTGATTATATCAGGATTTTTAAAAACTGTTCTTTAAGTGTGGCACTTAGAAGTGGTATTAGTGGTGTTATAGTGCCTGGATAACTTCTAATTTTTTTTTTTTGAAAGCGGATATTTTTATAAAAAATGAATTTACCCTAAAAATTCATGTGTACTGAGGCAGTATTAGGTTTTACAGAAATATTGCATTAATGAAAATATTCTAGCATTCAGGAAAGACTTTAACCAGTACCCCTCAAAATGACTAGTGAACAAATTGGTCATTGTGCTAAGGATGTTTTATTTCAGTTTCCAGAATACTATAGGCTGGTGAGGATATGATACGAGAAAAGTGTCTCAGTTTAATTTCATGGACACTGTCCTTAGGTTTTGGAACAAACTGTAATTACAAAATGCAAAGGTAAAGGTTTAACAGATAATGGCTGAAAGCCAGGGAAGTAATTTCATAACCTGGGAAAAAAAAACATTTAGACAAGTTTCAAAAGTATTTTGTACTTCTGCTTTGTTTTCATGAGGATTGTTTGTGGGTTGCTGTTTCTAGCATTAGGTAAACCATTTCATTGTGACTGTATTCTTTCTGGAAAACACCTCCTTACCAGTGTTTTGCAGGCGGATGTTCTGGGTACCCCTCATGTCTTTGTTACAGACTTCCCCAAAGTCTTTATATATGTACATATGATGATTGTATTTATTGTATTTCTAGTTAAATCTACCCCTATATCCACATCCCACTTGAAAGGAGAGGGCAGGAGGGGTAGCTTCACATCAGAAACCCACCACCTTTGCTTGCTGGGTCCCAGGACATAGCTGAGCTGCAAACAAGCTAGATCTCTGTAACGTTCCATTGCTTGGATGTTGGGACAGGAAGCACTGGATTTTTGTGCTGCTTTGATCCATTTTGGTCTGGCTGCTTCTGGGTTTTTGGATGTCCCTGGGAGACAGGAACTGGAGCCTGCTAGGGGCATCAGGTCCTTCATTTGGATCCTACAAGGTCATTGAGGTTTTTGGGACAGTGTCAACTTTCTAGCTGAGCAGAAGGGACCATCTAGAAGCAGGGAAGCAGCTGTCCACCATTTAATTTTATTCTCACCATTCAGCTTATGACCACTTTTGGTTTACTTTTGGAATATGCTTCCTGCTTCCTGATATCCAAAAAGGTTAGTTTCCTACAGGGTTTTCTCAACATTGATCCTTGCAGTTGGTAAACCCTACAGAAATAGTACATTTATTTTTAAAGCATGCCTGTGAGGAGGCAGATTTTTTGAATCAAAAATCGAGGCAAAAGGGTGTATTCACCAGTATTTTTTACTGCTGGCTTTATATTCCTTGTAAAGGGGGAGTGTGCCAAGCTTATTTCTTGAATACAAGATTTTAGTTTATCTGAGAGATGGCTGTGTCTTGTTTTATGTGAAGGCAAGCACTACGACTTGATCCAGAAGCAGTCT